TGGGTGGCTGGGTGGCTGGGTGGCTGGGTGGCTGGGTGGCTGGGTGGTTGGGTGGTTGGGTGGTTGGGTGGTTGGTTGGTTGGTTGGTTGGTTGGGTGGTTGGGTGGTTGGGTGGTTGGTTGGTTGGTTGGTTGGTTGGTTGGTTGTTGTTGTTGGTTTGTTGTTGTTGTTGTTGTTGTTGTTGTTGTTGGTGGTGGTGGTGGTGGTGGTGGTGGTGGTAGAAACAAACACAGCCGCCCAACATAATTGTCACATGTTGTAACTTTGGAACTTCAAGGGGACGAGGTTAGGGATACGGTTGAAGGTATGAGCGAATAGGTGGACTTGTTGGACTTGTTTCACTGAAGTTTGGGCTGGTCCGTTTTAGTGTTTTTGATTTGTTGTTCTGGAGGGGGGGTTCCAAAAAAACAACAACGGGGCTGCAGTAGTTGTGTTTAGGAGGGGGTAGAGACAACAACACCTTTTGAGGGGGGGTCCAAAAAAACAACGGGGCTGCAGTTTTTGTCTCTAGGATGTGGTCGAGGTTCTAAGTAGAAGTTTTACAGAGGCTTAGCAGACCGGTTGCTACTACTACTACTACTACTACTGCTACTACCACTACTACTATTACTGCTACTACTACTGCTACTGCTGCTGCTACTACTACTACTACTACCACTACCACTACCACTACTACTACTACTACTACTACTACTCCTCTTAGTCTCACGACTACTACAACAACGACCACTACGAGTACCACTAGTACTCGTGCCACTAGTACTCGCACTAGTACAAGAACTACCACTACTGGTAAAAGTACTTGTTGGTTGGTTGTTTTCGGGGGGGGGGTCAAAAAGCAACGACGGGGCTGCAGAGTTTGTTTCCACCCCCTTGTAGAGACAAAGGAACAAGACGTGTTGTAACGGGGCTGCAGTTTTTGTTTGTACCTTGCTGTTGTTGTTGTGGTGGTTGTTGTCTGTCGTTGGTTTTCTTATTTTTTTTGTAGGTGTGTGCTTGTTCATCGCTGTTGTTTTCTCAATGTAGGAAACACCATGAAACATCTGGTGGAAACGTGCGTGCCAGAGTCCGCTTCTGCTCCGCATACCCTTTCTGCACCGGGCGCATCATCGACATCGAAGGAAGGCTTCGGTTTCCACACCTGGCCGTGTCCTGCATGTTTGGATGGCCATATAGAAATCTAGGTCGTGCCAGGTCCTACCTACCCGGTATCAGGTGTCATCGTAATAAATGAACAACTGCGGGAACCAGCCAAGTGTCCGAAGGTAGCTGGACTGTCCGAAGACCACCCAAAGCCTCCAATATCCTCATATATATATATATATACCAGCACCCTCCAACAGGTCTCCTCTAAAGGGTTGTTGGGCCCTAACAGGTCTCAATTGGTGACCTGTTGGAGGGTGCTGGTATATATTATATATATTATATAGCCTTCCCCAAGACCATTTGTAGTCTAAAACGCTCAGTATACGTAAAACAATGGTGGGCCAGGAATTTGAGGGTACCTCTCGTCCCTTGTGCCAGGCCAGAGCTGGAAACGGCAAAGGGCTGTTTTAGGCGAAGGCCTTCAGACTGCGCTGGGAAGCTGCGTTGTGGCGCGGTTTGGTTGGGATGGAGTATTATTTGACACTTAGACAATGCAGATGGTCAGTGGTTTTGTGTTCGCTCATCCTTCACCACGAAAAAACACCAAATCTTAGGCCATATTTGCTGACATGTGTCGTTTGGGCAATATACTAATATACCATGATTTGTTGCGATGTATGTTTGCAATCCCTGTGGCTGGATTCATGGGTATCCCATGTATGATGCCTTTTTTGTTCATGTTCTGTTTGCATCTGCGGAGCTTCAAATCCCGGTTTTGGTGTGGTTTCATGTGGTGGCCATAGAGCAAACATCGCATTCTCTTGGCAACAGAAACCGGTTAACGGTCGAATTTCGATGCTTGCCGCTGTGGCAGCTTCCGCAAACCGACAGCGCTCGGCAACAAGCTTTGAACACTTGGTTGGTGTCCGAGGGTCGACCCCGAACAATCCAGGTCCTCAACATCTATTTACAAGTCCCAAGACCCAGTAACACCTAGTATTTACCTCCTTAGGTATTGGTTTAATATGCTATGACATAGTATGACCATCTCGGGTAAAATTATTTCAATCTGACTTGTAGGGTTTGCATGTTTGTTGATGAACTGTGACAAGTCTTTGCTGCAACAGTGACCGGGCATCGCACACCGGTGACCGGGCATCGCACACCGTGACCGGGAATTCCCCGCACCCGAGCCAGGCAACTGTTTCACGAGTCTGCCGGGCAAGCAGGAGTGATGTTGACTCTGCAACGGTTTCGACCGACAAGCAACGAACAAACACATGCCACAGGTGGCACACACACCAACGGCGTGGTAAATAGATCTTCTCATATCTTATCGCGAATCTTCAGGAACATAGCTGTCCAGCAAGTGCAGTTTCCTACACAGCAGGTACCATCCTCAGTTCCACCACTTGCGAGGACTCAGATATGCTCAGAGAAGTCTTTGTTTCCAATGGTTTAGGAGCAGGTTCTGCGCCATAAACTGTCAGAGCAGGTGGATTCCTTGCTTGTTTCCTTCCCCCAAGGATCCATTGCCTCCTCAGGTTCGTTACGAAGTGGGCCCTTGCTTCGCCTGTAACGTCTCCCTGCTCACGTACCTCAGAAGCTGGCAGTAGATCCATAGGGTTCCAATGGGTTCCAATTAGATCATTAGATCCAATTAGTTTTTGTTTTCAAAACTTGGGGGTCCTTGAAGGTCATCCAATCACCATAATCATTTGCTCGGAAGTCCGGATAGATCCCTGATATGGCATAGGGCACTTGTTCGAGGCCATTGTGTCACCCAAATGTTTGATCATGTTTGATCAATGGCCGTGGTATGGTCGGAGGCCACGTAGGTTTGAAGGGTCCAAGTACCTGGATCCCTAGGCCCTAGGGTATATGCTTCTTTTGTGCTCTCTGTTTGTGCTTTGCAGGTGCCGTGAATTTTGGCCTTGATGTTTTGACCGCACATGATGTTGGTGCTATTTTCCCCGCGACACCCTTTGGTGTAGGCTAGCTAGATGAGCTCTTCGTTTCGTCCAGTCCGTTGCAGATGAACGGTGTCCTCCTCCGGTGTCCTCCAACCAACGTTGGGGACGTGTCACCAGCTGCGGGGCGGCATGAGTTGGCCAGCAAAAACACATGTTTTCTAATTTTTCGTAGGCCGCCTCCAAGCGAGATTTATCCTCTAAACGGTCTAAACGTGATAAATGTCACGGTTGTGGACTGCCAAATCGAACCAACCAACCAACTTGGCGCGAGTCGACCATAGTCGGCCTGCGCTGCGAAGCTGCATGCTTTTGTGATGTTTTGTGTTTTCTTTTCTTGGAGCCCTTTAGCTTGAGACTAAACCATACATCTAGTGTGGGTGTATATTTAAATATGGAGATCCTGGCCCAATGGCCCAATGGCCCTATGGGTTGGGTTTGTTGATTTCTCTTCCAACAGGTTTTTGCCAAAGCTCCCTATTTCTGGGGAAGTCATAAAACATCAATGTGACAATGTGGGATTTCCTGTATGTGTTGGTGTGCGAAGCAGATGAGCATTGTTCATGTTTGTCGCGTTTTCTTGATTCCAAATTGGACAAAGGAATGACTTTGTACTACTTTTGCCTTAGGGGCACGACCTTGTCATTTGCTGCCACAACGACGGGCTTACCATTTGATGACTGTGAGGAAGCCACTCGGATTGGCAGAAGACATGCTTTAGTTAGTTTGTTTGCTTTGGATAATAAAGGCAGGTACTCAAACTCCAAATGAATCACAGAAGAAATCCAGTTGGTACCCATACTCGAAAATAAACCCAGTTGTATCAGTATGTATATCTGGTAACCAGACCATGATAATGAACAGCAAAAAACAATACACAATCACATGGATTTTTCCTTGTTAGATTTTATGTCAGCTGCCTTCCTCCTCCTCCGCCTCCTCCTCCTCCACCTTTGCATCGTCCTCAACCGCCAGCTCCGGATGGCAGTGTTCTCCGCCGGACCTCAACCGCAAGTGCAGGATGGCAGTGTTACCGCGAGTTCCGCTTGGCAGTGTTCTGCCAGAATGTATGCCAGATAGAGTGCCAGAGCATTTGCCAAGTAGAATGCCAGAGCATGTGCCAGATAGAATACCATAGAATACCAGCAATGATGCCAGATAAAATGCAAGCAGTTATGGTAGATAGAATGCCTGCAAATTTGGCAATTAGAGCTCACAGTATATGCCAGATAAAGTGCCTGGCTCTATGCTGGATAGAGTTCCAGGATATCTTCGATGGCAGAACAAATGTCGGAGTACATGTCAGAACACATACCAAGGCCTGAAGTTGGTCCAAATGTCACAGCACATGTCAGACAGAATAAATGTCAGAACACATGCCAACCAAGATATCAGAACACAGCCCAGAACGTTTCCCAGCCTTTATGATAGATGATGTGTCAGAGCACAAACCAGATTTGATGCCAGAAGAAGCGTCAGAACATCGTGTCAATCCGCACAAATCGCCTTTCACGGTGGGGATCCCTCGAGGTAAAGTAATTTGTGCGGTCCCTTGGGCGAGCCGGCTCCGTGGGGCTTAAGTGTGATGACATGCAGCCTTCGAACTTGTTCGTTCCGCCGTCTTCCTGACATGTCTTGAGACTCGGGGTGAGTCCCTCGGTTACCCTCCGACTGACTCGCATGGAACATATGGAAGTGGAACATGGCCTTTGGAATTGCGGTCCTCGTCTACAAACTGAGGTTGGGCTCCACTTCCATGTGATGTGTTTATTGGAATGTGCATTTTCCAAAAGGCGAAGTTTGTTTGATGAGAGGCGAAGAGTATAGACATTTATAAATATAGAGATATAGATATATATACATCCAGTGAAGAGATACATCCATCGGGCAGTGAGATTAGCGTGGGCAACGGGAAAGGAGTCAAACTAAGGAGCCAGTCCAACGGTGCCAGATGCCCTTGCGGTTTCATTCGTCTCACTTTCCGCCAGATGCGCTGCGTCGTGGAAAGAAAATGAGATCCTCAGAGCAGGGAACAGATGGAACGGACGGGTGCGAGAATTCATTCCCCACCCCGGTCACCTTCAAAATGGAAGTTGGTGTTGCGCAGGGGGCAATATTTCAAGTGATGCAGGTGGTGCACTTTCAGCGTCGGCGCGTCTTGAAGGAAAGGAAAGGGAGTGCACGTCTCTAATGTGTCCATGTTCGCTTGAAACAGCCAGCGTCACCAAAGAAAAGGGATCCCCATTTATGACCCATCCATTAGGTATACTATACTTGTGTACATGGATGGTTTGTTTGAATTTTGACCTTTCGAACTTGTGAAACAGTTAGCTTGCCAGTTGAAACTCATTTCCAGCCCGCCATTGAAAGATATTGAAAGAGTTCGGAACCGACGCGTTCCGGAGTCTTAGGGACGCTTACCAAAAAAGATGCGTGTCATGCGATGCATTAAAACACGGACAAAACCGATAATCGTCGATAAGTTTGTTTTGTTCGCTGGATGAAGAGTTGCATCTCAGTGTGTTGGAGGGGACGTCCGGGGCCAACTATGAAGGGGGGAGAAGGATCCAAGCTGCATTGAGGTGGTTCATTCACAGATCAATGAAACACCATGTGGAAAAAATTCTGGAATTCTGCCCAGGCTTGCTAAGGCATGTTTTATTTCTTTCTGGGAAGTGAACCCAGAAAACCGGAAATGAGAAAGATCAGAAACGACCAAGGTATGTGATTTGCAACGATTATTTGTTCATATCAAAGTGCATCGACGAGTTGTTCAGGGCCAAAGGAACCAACGAACAACGAACAATTTCAACCGAGGAGACCGAGCGGCGTCCCAACCAGCGGTCCGAACGCCAACGAACGACCGTGAGAAGACTCCCAGCGGAAACCTGGGCATCGACATGTAGTAAACCGTTGGTAATTTGCCACCTATTTTAGGTGAGTAGAGCGAAGCAATCAAGAGCAACTTTTTAGGAGCAAAATCGCATCAGATGACCTCCCTCACGACCCGGACCTCAAAAAACTACACTCAGCAGGTATTTTCTCTGATGTTCCTCAATTTTAGGACCTCATTTTTCAACATTTCTCAGGACCCTACAAAGTAGGACCTTGGACTTGAAGGGTATAATAGGGCCTAGGGTATATCATGGTACGGTATATATATGTATAAAGTATGTGTGTTTTAATTGACCACTACCAAAAAAAGATTGTTTATTGACCACTATCCACACCAGCTGGTGTCCCAAGTACCCAGTTTCCACCAGTTTGATTCCCCCGTCCCCCGAGGCGTCCAGGGCCGAGTGCCCAGGCGATGTGGCTCGCGGGCGCTCCGCGCCCGTACACCGAACAGCGGTTGTTGACCCAAAAGTTCCGAGTCTGTCACACGAACACACGAACAAAGGGTGACAGGAAGGACAACAACTGCTGTGGACAACAACCCTGTGGACGAAGGGCGTGAACTGTTGTCTGACATGGCTTCTTGGGGTGAAAGAAAGAGTTCAC